GTTCAAACCCGACCAAACCAACAAAAACATAGCTGGGCATTGTAACTAGTGCCTGTAGTCCCAGCTACTCGGTAGGCGGAGGCAAGAGAATCACCTAAGCCCAGGAGTTGGAGGTTGCTGCAAGCTGTGTGACGCTGCCATGGCACTCTACAGAGGGCAATAAAGTAAGACTGTCTCTGAAAAAAAAAGTCAGCTACTGATATACACAATGTATGGATGAATATCAAAAACATGTACAGGCTCGGCGCCTGTGGCTCAAGCGGCTAAGGCGCCAGCCACATACACCTAAGGTGGCGGGTTCGAATCCAGCCCGGGTCTGCCAAACAATGATGGCTGCAACCAAAAAATAGCCAGGCGTTGTAGTGGGCGCCTGTGGTCCCCAGCTACTTTGGGAGGCTGAGGCAGGAGACTTGCTTGAGCCCAGGAGTTAGAGGTTGCTATGAGCTGTGATGCCATAGCGCTCTACCCAGGGGGATAGCTTGAGGCTCTGTCTCAAAAAATAAAAATAATAAAATAAAATAAAAAGTGTATGTCCCCTGGGTCCAGGCTAAGACAGAGGGGATTAATGGAACTCAGGGTTGATTCCTGATCCACCTGGGAGAGAAGGGGACCTAGTTACCCTAGGTTCCAGTGAGCACCTTTGGATCCCCTAACTATCATTCCATATGTAGTCCTCTGGTTTGCCTTTTTGGCACCTCAAATCTCAGAGTTGCCATAGACTGCCTAGCTGAAGATTACATTTCCCAGTGTGCATTGCCAGGAGTGAGGCAGAAGAGCTCTTGTGAGGCATGTGGCTCCTGAGACATGGCTGGCTGCTTGCCCTCTACCCTTTTCCGGTTCTTGATGGCTAGAACACGGATGTAATGGTGAACCAGCCTTGACACAGAGACAGGACAACACTGGGCTTCTTGAGAAAACTTCCAGTGCAAAGCTACCTACTCATCTTGTACACCTGCCTATCTTTGAACTGTTTTGTGGAAAAATCAGCTTGTATCTTTCTTGGGCCACAGTATTTACTGAATCTTAACAAATGCCACACTGACAAATTCTGAACCGATGGGAATGTGCTTTCCCAAATGTTCAGACATGCTATACAACGAATACTACTCAGTATTAAAAAGTCAGCTATTGGGCGGCACCTGTGGCTCAGTGAGTAGGGCGCCAGGCCCATATACCAAGGGTGGTGGGTTCAAACCCGACCAAACCAACAAAAACATAGCTGGGCATTGTAACTAGTGCCTGTAGTCCCAGCTACTCGGTAGGCGGAGGCAAGAGAACATCCCATTGTACTTTCCACGTCAGTTTAACCCTTTTCTCACATGCTCAAGCCCTACATCCTTCTCCCCATTTATTTGCCCCTTATAGGCCCCT